AGGAAAGTATAGGTCAGAGCTATGAGGATGGAGAGATCCTCTGTATTCTGTAGCTGGCATTGACTCTGAACAGCTCCATCAGCTTTTAATTTGGCTGAACCATCAGTGAAACAGTCCCAGGTATTTACAAGAATTTCTATAAATTGAAGGCCCCAATGAACCAGTGACTTCAGGTAGCAAAGTGAGAGAGAAGTTTTTCCCCCAAAAGTGTACCTTTTACTTCTTCAGAAAAACAAAATGACAGTAAGGCCAAGCCAGCTGCATCTCTGAACACACTATTTTCATTTGATCAATGAGGTCTACTGGGCCCTTCCTCATTAACCATCAAGTACGACTTAACCTACCCCAAAATGGGGACACCAGGTCAGAGAGTCACAGACATCTATAGTCGAGGTTTTTTGTTTGTTTGTTTGTTTGTTTGTTTGTATGTGTTTGTTTGTAAGAGACAGGGTCTCATTCTGTTACCCAGGCTGGAGTACAGTGGTATGATCATAGCTCACTGCAGCCTTGAACTCCTTGGCTCAAGCAATCCTCCACCTCAGCCTCCTAAGTAGCTGAGACTATAGGTTCACACCACCATGCTCAGCTAATTTATTTTTTGTAGAGACAGGGTCTCACTATGTTGCCCAGGCTGGTATTGAACTCCTAGGCTCAAGTGATCTTCCCACCTTGGCCTCTCAAAGTGCTGAGATTACAGGTATGAGCCACTGTGCTCAGCCAGGTATTTCATTTTAACAAGAGCTTAGCATTAGGCTAATAGTTATCCTCCTTTTCAAAAGAAGTGTACTTGGTAGCTGGGTCAGGCAGGTGGCACTACTGTACTGGGAAATGGCCTGAGTTCCCCAACAGCCACCAAGCCTTTAACCGAAGCTGTGATTTTCTTTCCTCCTGGGATGATACATTTTTTAATTCTTACTCTTTTGCTGGATCACCTAGGAAAGGAACAGGGGATCACCTATCTACATGCAGTAGCCCATGAATGGGAGAGTCTCCTCTGGATCTATAAGCATTCACAGTATAAGAACATAACAATTATCAATACCAATTATACATTTAGCCAAGGAAGCCAAAATAACAATACACTGAATAGGCCCACAGGATCAACCTACATTTTAGCGTTTTTGAATCTGAGTGCTTTTCTCCCCTGCAAGAACACAGACCAAGGAATTTAACACATGCATAAAAGGGACTATAGTCATAGCTGCCAGGAGACTACATTATTTCCTTACCAGGAACATGGGGAGTACAGAGTAGTGGGGGAGGCAAGCCTGCAGAGACTAGGAAGACTTCTCTTTTCCTTTGGCTTCTCACTCCAGGGTGGTGTCACTTCCTCCCTTGCATACCCAAAGCTCCTGCAAGGGCCTGGGCCTCTGGTTCTCTAATTTGCCCCTGTGCATGCTGCTCTGGCTCCACCCTACAGCCCTCAGTAGCTTCAGCTTCCCTTGCCACCTACTGAGCTTTCTCCACATGACTATGTAGGAGGGTAACTTGGGCATCTCTAGTCAACAGAGTTAGAAACGTTTAAATTCCTCTCTCTCCTGAGGTTTCCTACCATACTTGGCATTTATCTTAAGCAGCTAAGGTTAGAGCAGAGAGAAAGAGCAGCTATGCACCAATAAGCAAGACTTTGCACTTACATTCAATTTCAAGTGGCTGCCCACTCAGACTTGACAAATGAACTTATAATATATTTAGTCTACCCAAAGCTCTACATCCTCACTGCTGGCACCTTTTATTTTAGCACTGGAAAGCCCTCGATTCAGGAGCTACAACCATACTGCCTTTTGCCTTAGGGCACTGAGGCCTCCATAATGGAATAAAGTTCTTTCTTCCTCCAGCCTAGAGAGTGAGCAAAAAACAAAGCACCATTTGAGCAGCTTCATTTAATTCTCTCTCTCTCACTGCTCAGCCTCAAAAAATTCATTACTCTCTACTATCCCACTACTTAAACAAGAGCATTTGCTACTGGTGTCACATCCCCTAAGCTGGTCCACAACAACCCTGTCCTTTCTCTTCCAGGAGGCCACATCCCTGTCAACATCACATCTCTGTCACCAAATGTGTAAAAAATTATTAAGGGTCTAGGATTTTAGTCTACTTATGAGCTATGAAGCTTGCCTGTTACTATTTCATGGATGGTGGCAGAACATAAAATATGACTGGGTCAGAGATAAAGGACTTTATTACCCATGATACAACAAGCAGTATAAGCATCACATCACTGGCAGTTTACCTCGCCCCACCAAGTGCCCCTGGCTGAGGGACCTGGGTGGATGCTCTGTATACTGTGGGTTTCCATCACAGATGAAGAACACTAAGCTTGGGAAATACGCCATTCTTATAACAAGCGAAAGCAAGTCTGCTTGTAAGTTCTTTGTCTGAAGTAATGACTTCATCCCTTGAGGTTACTAGTTAAAAATACAACCCTGATAAATGGACCAGGTAAAGAGCATTCAGGGCTTCGCATCCTTGGCAGATCCAGCAAGAATGTTCTGGAATGCTCAGGGCTTCTGGTGGATGGCTTCTCCTAGAACACTACTATGCAACCTAATACCAGAGGTCTTAGGCAATCGAAACCAGCCTGAGCAAGAGTGAGACCTCATCCCTACTTTACCTTGAAAAAAAAAAAAAAAAAAAAGAAAATAAATAAGTCACACATGTTTCAGGAAGAACTCAATTATCTTTATTTGAAAACAACATTGTCTACATAGAAAATACCATGGAATTCACAAAACAGCTCCCAACACTAATAATGAGTTTAATAAATTTGGAGTATACAAGTTCAATATACAAAAACCAATCATATTTATATAAAGAATAAACTGGAATTTTTTTAAAAAATAAGGTGTTACTTCAATAGCACTAAAGAAATGAAATAATTAAATATAAATCTAACAAAATATGTGCAGGACACACAGGCTAAAAAATTAAAAGATACTGATAAATCAACGAAGCTCTAAATATAATAGAGATACGGTGTCTGTAAGTTAGAAGACTCGATATTGTTAAGATGTCAGTTCTCCCCAAATTGATGTAAAGATTGTCTGCAATATCAACCAAAATAACAGAACTTTTTATGTATTATAAACCTAAATGGAGACTAGAAGATAGCAATAACTGAAGATATATTGCTGAATCTATCTAGCAGAAAGTCACCAGTGATCAGAATCTCTAAGAATTATTAGTAAACTCTTAACATGTATTCATTTTCCCAAATGGATGAACCAAGTACCACAGTGGATGTTACCTAGCCTACAGTGGAACTACAGCCTACAGAACTCTACTATTCTCTGGCCCTACACATAAAGATTGGCAGCCTTCTTATAAAAGCATTATGTACCTAACTAGTATCAATAGTAGACCATTAAATCATAGACAGCCATTCAGCTACGTCTCCCACCAGAGCATAAGACTCATAATAGCACAAAAAAGGGGACTTGACATAGCTTTGTTAAATATATAATCTGGTTGATCAAATTGACTTGGCCTCAGGACACAAAATGAATTTGATTCTGCATAGTAACTTAGAGTGAGAGAATTATACAAAGAAAAGAAGCAACAGAAAAGAGAAACCAATGACAGGGGTGGAAGCACAAAAATGGCTATTTGTATAATTCTTTGATCAAAATGTAAGAAAAAAATCAATAAAATCCATAACATTTAAAAATGCAAAAAGAGATTAATAGTCAAAATAGTAAGCCAGAGGACTGGAGTGGAGATAATAATTTGGAAAAGGCTCCAAAGTAGACATGCCCACAGCAGAAGAGAGAGGTTAAGCTGTAGTAACAGTCACAGAGTCCAAAGTCTCGGTTTGGATGAGAAAATGTAAAAACAAATGCTATGTATATTATAATGTATGTGATGTTAGCAAATCACTTATAAATACGTAGTGATTTTTCACACTATGTATATATAAATTGGAAAATTTTAAATGCCCAACTTAGATGAGGTAGATAAGGATAGGGAAGAAAGGCTTGTGGATTTTTCTGTTAAGTTTATGCCATTCTGATGCATGTGCTTTATCCAATATAATCAGTTTTTAATTATTCTCTTATAGAAAATGAATCACCAATGTTGTTAACTCTCTACTACCTTGGCTACTCCACACTTGATGGAGGTTTCAGCAGATGGTCCATTTCTGTTTTTCTAATAAAACATTTGTTGAAAGAAATTTAAAGTTGAGAAGCCAAATGAAATTTCTGAATTGGCTTTAAATCGAAATAATCCTTTCTTCCATGGTCTCCAGTATCAGAAAGAGTTCAGAGTTTACTATGTTAAGTATCCATTTGAAAAAGCACTCTTGAAGCAATATAGTTTAAAAAGTAATTATCAGCAGTTAGAAACTGCTTTTGCATATATACTTTGCAATTGTTTCAAAGCACTTTCAGTTATGGTTAATTCCAATCCAATATTATTTGACTTTTTTACTTACAAACTCAAGAGAATCATCAAAAATAGAGCATCAGAAGTAGCCACAAGCAGGGTAAGAATGATTTGATATGAATAGTGCAATGTAAATATAACAATAAGTTACTCTCTCACAGTTACAGTTGTCTAAACTTAAAGATGACAAACATATAAAAACTAAAAATCAAGGACTCCCCATATCAGGAATTTTAGGAACCAAAACAGATATGCAATCAAAATATTTATAACTGAAAAGAAAATCACAACTTTTGAAAAAGGGTTTTAATTGAGCTGTATGTATTTTGGGATTAAATTTATAGCTATTGGTTAGTTGTCAGAAAAGCCAAACTGCTTTCCCAGATTATTAATTAAATAAAAATTTAACCTATAAGATTATTTTATAACATAAAATTTGGTTTTAAATCACCAATTGTAGCATTTTCCAAAATTAGTATCCTATATGAATACAAAATATATTAAATGCACAAGTGTGAAAAATCTGTGTTACTATGGAAACAAGAATCTTTGTAAATTCTGATATATGTAATTTGGCATGAATTTATTTCATGAAAATAATATAATATGATTCTAAATCCAGTGGTTTAGATATTTACATATTTGTTAAAAACAAAGGAACTTAGGACTACCCTTGTTAAGATTTCAGAGAACCTTATAATCACCAAACCAATCTGTGGTTTTTTAAAAAATAATAATATTGTAACTAAGAAGTGCATACAATATAAGAAATTGCTGTTTGTGATATTTTACATATCCTTAGCAAGTCACTTGTACAGAAAACAAAAAGCAATATCCTTACTTGAGCTTTTTTGCTACCATTACCACTTACAGTGATCCCAGATTTTGTTTTTGCAAAATAATCTGAATAGTACTTGGAAACCTTGTCTCACAAAGAGTTAAACAAAGCACAGAAATATACTTCAACAAAAAGAATCAAAACAATACTGTGACCTAAAGAAAGCTTCACTTGCCAAAAGTTATACACTAATAAGTTGCGACTAAATCCAGATCACCCAATTCTATGTCTCAAGTACCTTCATTTACAAAGAGAGAGGGCCAACTATAGTAGGGTGGGGTTTGCAGAATTCTAACACTGACTCTGCTGTTAACCTACTTAGACTTTTTGAAGTCACTAAATTTCTCTGTGCCTTGGTTTCCTCTACCATACGGGGCTATTCTGATGATAAACATAAGCAAATACTTGAATTTTTTGGCAGAAAAGCACTATATATATTTCCACTATGTTAATAATTTCCTCATCCCCACCTCAAGTTTCATTGATGCTAACTGATGCTAACATGTTTTTCTGGGTTTTTAGTTTTAAGCTTAAAATAACATTGTGAGAGAGAGTGTGTGTGTGTATCAGCCATCTCTTAACATGGCTATCATTCTAACAAGATTCTTTTTTCTGACTTTCAAAATGCATAAAAATAGCATAACATTTTCATTTTTAGTATTATCAAAGCCTTGCCACCCAAGGCTGTGCATAATATTTGAGAAATTCACAACAAAATTTTCCACCACATTGCTCTCAACTTCTATAGAAATGCAATTAAAAACTCATATACTAGTCAGCCATTGCCCTATAAAGCTTAAATAATACCAGTGGAAGATTATAAAAATGCATTTTGCTTTTCAAAATAAGAGAATAATTCCAATTATAAATAAAAAACCTAGCATACATTTTGAAAAATGAATACTAACAGTCCTAAAATAATGGAGATATATGATTTATATTCTAAATAATTCAACCATCTGCAATTGTCTTCCATTTTGTCAAGAGACAGAATCCGGCCACTTGATATACTTAAGTCCAAAAAAATTATCCTAACTATTAATAGAAACTTATTTATAGGTAACCAAAATTAATAGAAAATTTAATGTTAAAATATTTTAGATTCAATACTTAAACCATTATTTTTATTTTGAAAGTATATCTTAAAATAACTTTACAACTTACAGACATTACTTTTTCCTTTGACACATCTATTTACTAACAACATTAGCATGCAGCTACATATTTAATATAATATTTAAGAAGTAGCAATCCACTCAGAAATGTGCCCAGGTCAAAAACAGAACTAGCCAATTGAAGTAAAATATTATGGCACATGATCAGTATATACCTACCAAATGAAAGGATTACCAAAGGAGAAGACCAAATAGTCATCTCCAAAAGTAATGCAGATGATTAAAGTTTTACCCCTGAGACTATGCTATCAGCAATGAAATTTTAAAATATATATATTTTAGGGTATAATCACCTTATAGCAATTTGATTAATATTTTGCATGAATGAATACCCAAATGAACGAGTACTTAAGTTATGGCAACGTTTAACACCTTGAGATGTTCACAACAATTTGGAATACACAGAGAAGATGACTCGAATACAAACAAACTAGTTGAAATTCAATGTGGCTCACAGTAAAGATGCAGTGGGTTTCTATTTGTAGAACAAAGAATCTCAACCAAAAACATATATAGATTAAAATGTTCTCAAGTGCAATTATCAAGGCTTTAAAAGGAATATGTACTTTTTACTATGTAAGTCTTTCTTGCTCCCCAACCTCCCTGAAATTTTTAATGTTTGGCATAAGTGACCAACAAACCAGAATAGAACATACATTTTTAAAATACTAATTTACACACATTCTATTTAAGAAAAACATACAACCACTTATATATTTAGTCTTTTTTTAAAAAGCATCCTTATATAAAACAGTGGGGGGGGGGGAAATCCCTGCTATACATATGAAGCACAGTTTAAGCCCAATACAACTGACCAATCAAAATTAGTGAATGCACTGCATCTCTCTGCAGTGGAGAGAAGCGACAAGGTAGGCTGTCATTCTGCAAAAGCTGCCCAGAACAGGCTTTCCTCTGAAAAGCAGTGCCGTTCCTTTTTGGAAAGACTGAATCTAAATGTTGTCTCTGGAGACAAGAAGCCTTCAGTATGTTAAATTACTTCATTATGTATTTTCAGATGCTTATTGATTCCACAGTAGGAAGAGTGAGAGACTGCAGCAGCCTCTAAGCAGCACTACATGTTCCATACATTAGCAGTACTGCTGAAACAATGGCACAGTACAGACACATATTTTCATTAAGGTCATTTTCGAAGAGATGTTTATGACCCTCTTCCCTCAGTCCTCTACTAACAAGTGAACAAAATGAATCAATCAAAACTGGAAATGCTTCAACTACATCAAGAATGTATCAAATCTTTAGCAGAGGTAAGACGTGTTCCTTATTATAGTATACGGCTGCTTTTGAACCGGCATAGTGGGGTAAAATTACTTTGAAAATTTTCAGCCTAAATTTTAAGAGTTTGTTTAATTCTACCTAATGCTAAGCATGTATTTTTAGATCTATTTCTTTTAAGATATAATTTAAATGAAATTTTTTAGGATGCATTGTTAAATACAAAAAATAATCTTTGTTGATTCATTACGAAGACATCAGCTTTTAAGTCACTTCAGACATATTAAATATTCTTAATGTACTCAGTACAGTTTTCCTCAGATGTTCAAAAAATGCTTGTACCTCTTAAAAGAACAAGGTTTACTATTCAGCTGTTTCAGCTGTTATTATTTAATTTTATGTTAATTATTGGACATGTTTATTGAAGATATTTAATTTGCAGTTACATTTTTGTATTACCTTTTACATTTCAACTACATAATTCATCAATGGAAATTTATAGTATCTTATCGTGGAATCTGTTTTAATGAGTTAAAATTCAAACCATGTGCTAATAATTAAGCAAACTACAATATTTTTACAGCATGAGATGTTCAATTTATTACAGAGGGAATGACAATATGTTTAGTGTATGCTAACTGTTCATAATCTCTGAAAATACAGGTTAGCTTCTAAAACGAGAGCAGAAATTAGTTTAAAAAATACAGCTTTTCACTCAGTTATATTTTAAATGTTAACTCAATTGTTAAATAATATATACAACCTTTACTAGGAAAAGGAATCTTTTATATAAAGAAATTCTTCAGTTTATGTATATAGCTGTGGCTCTAGTAATACAGCTTATTTTCATAACAAATATTGTTTGGTTTTAAAATTAAAAAAAAACTAAGGTAACTTTTAATTAATTGGAAATTATTAAAAATCCTACTTCTTAACCATTTTTTTTTCTTTTCACAAGGGTCCACAGCAGCTAATTCAGTATTTACAACCGATTATATGAAGAATGCAATTGACTGAGCTTCTCCCTAGCTGTCTGAACCACGGACTGCAAGATATCCTGTAATGCATGATTTTAAGACATTAAGGAGTTAAAACCAGGGAAAAGGTCTACATTACTGTTGGAATATAACAAATGGACAGCATCCTAAGAAGCTACTACATAAAATAACCACAGAAAGAAAAATAATACAACCATAAAAGCCTGAAAACAAAATGGTGAGCTTTTTTAAAGAAGTTGTTCATACTTTAACATACCAGAATTGTGGAAGCTACTGATTCTTGAATAATGAAACATGAGTTTACAAAAGGAAAATGACATACTTTACCAGCAAGCAAAATGAAGCTTTAACAAGTGTTTTCTGCACTAGATATTCAGATAGTCATATCAATTGATGTGGACTAATGGATTTTTCCATCTGAGTTTTATGACCAATTATGTATCCTCTTCTAATGAAAACAAACCAAATTAAGTGGCAGATGCTTTTTATCAAAAAAACATGGACTGGATTTATAATATAAAGCAAGTTATGTGATCAAGAAATCATTTCAAAATAATAAGGACTGCTAAAGAAACAGATTTATAATTGTATCAAAAGGATGTCTAAATTTATTTTAGAAGTTAGAAACCTTATGTTTCCTTTTTTGTTTTCACATATTCTGGAAAATAAAGAGACTATCATATACTCCCTCAAAGGGAAACATAATTCCTATCATTTGAGGAAGTTTCTCTTGGTCGTGACTTTTTAAGGCAAAACAAACACAAATATGTACTGTTTTTAGAAATTTATCAGCCAACTAAATCTCATAATTCATGCAGTTGAAGTGTTGGAGAGAAAATGAGAGAATTCCTACAAGACATGAAATAAAACACAGCTACTTCATTGTTGTCAGGTAAAAAGTCATGTTAAAATTTGTGAATGACATCATGTATCAATTTGTGAAAAACTGCCATAGTGAGACAAAAGGCCAATAAGGCAACAGCAAACAGGTAGGTCAGAAGATGCATGCACCCACCACACTGTTTAACATTTACACAAGAATAGAATCATGCTCTAGAGGAGATGCATTTTTCTTAATGATCATCTAACTTGACATCTCTGGTTTATTTACTTATAAATCTAGGCCAATGTGACAAAGATCTGATGTTTAATCTGTCAGTTCAGAAAATTTGGCACACTCAAAATTTTCCATTTTTATAGGATTTCAATTTTAGCTAAGACCTTCATTTACTCAAATATTTCTCTAGTAATACTTTATATCAACTCAATAGAAATGTTATCATTTATGTTTCTGAAATACCCCCAAAATAATATGCATAAATAAAACTGTATACTAAAACTTGTCAAAGGTAACATCAAGTAAAGGTTAACATGAATTTTGAAGATTATTAATTTTTAATATGTATGTTTGAATATGGTTTTGCAGTTGAAATGCTGTACTTGAAATGTGAAATATAGTTGGTTGTATGATTTCATATTTTAAACTGAGTATATTATTACTGACGATTTAGCCCAGAACATCAGACATTTTTATAAATTACTCTAAACCCCTATAAATTAAAATATAGATTTGCATGAATTAGTGTTTTTTTAAGTTTTCTTCAAAATTATACAGTGCATGATGTAGACAAAAGGTTTTACAAGTAATGTGTAACTTTAAAAGCTTCCTCAAAAAAATGGGCTTCACATACTCCTCTTCCCTAAAATTTCATCTTTTAAAGGCTCAGTTTAAACAAATAAAATCAACTGATATAGTATTTTATACTACTTTAAAAACAGCTATTTCTTAATACAATATTTAATTTCAATTTTCTCCTTCCACAACATACAAGAGGGTGTGGTCACAAAATAAATCATTCACAGGAGTGATTAGTGCTCTTTTACCAAGCTTTGTGATTTTTTACTTTAGCACACAGTTCCTTTTCTTCTAATTTTTATAAGTTTGCCAATTGTAAAGTTCAGTGAGCATTTTAACTGTGATATACAAAATACTTATCAATCATTTACTATTTCTGTGGGAAATAACTCCAAAAATCCCCAAGCACATTGTAGACTTCTGAATATGAAATTCAATTTCAAACTAGTACTCTGTATCATTTATCATTTTCAATGAACACTTGTCCTGTTCATTTGAAATCTTATGGGAATAATTACTCCTATAATCATTGTGCTAGAGCACATTAAAATATCATTTATTTCTTACATAATCATATTTTTAATGAAATTTTAAAACACTGGGCTAAAATTAGTTTTGTATACTGGGTAGTTTTATTATACAAAACTATACTTTATATCAAGAAATGAGCTTAAAAACCCAAATGAGGAACACCCTTTAGCATATTAAATAATTTTACACTACAAGGGGAATTTTCCATACAGTTATTTCTTCAAAAGGAAACCACAGTTTTCATTTACATCAGAACAATGCAACCTGGATGTTTAAGTCTATATTTTCCATTAATAGTTTACAAACTAAAAATTAAATTCAGTATACAATAAAAAAGATGTTTAACAAGGACCTGTTTTATATGTCATTTAAATTGCCAAATATCAAATAGTTTATTCTATTTCACTTTCTAGGGGAAAAAACCAACTGCTCCAAAAGAATGTGTTTTTCTCCCATTCTGGAAATCAACATGCAGTCTGAATCTAACATTACAGTGCGAGATGACATTGATGACATCAACACCAATATGTACCAACCACTATCATATCCATTAAGCTTTCAAGTGTCTCTCACCGGATTTCTTATGTTAGAAATTGTGTTGGGACTTGGCAGCAACCTCACCGTATTGGTACTTTACTGCATGAAATCCAACTTAATCAACTCTGTCAGTAACATTATTACAATGAATCTTCATGTACTTGATGTAATAATTTGTGTGGGATGTATTCCTCTAACTATAGTTATCCTTCTGCTTTCACTGGAGAGTAACACTGCTCTCATCTGCTGTTTCCATGAGGCTTGTGTATCTTTTGCAAGTGTCTCAACAGCAATCAACGTTTTTGCTATCACTTTGGACAGATACGACATCTCTGTAAAACCTGCAAACCGAATTCTGACAATGGGCAGAGCTGTAATGTTAATGACATCCATTTGGATTTTTTCTTTTTTCTCTTTCCTGATTCCCTTTATTGAGGTAAATTTCTTCAGTCTTCAAAGTGGAAATACATGGGAAAACAGGACACTTTTATGTGTCAGTACAAATGAATACTACACTGAACTGGGAATGTATTATCACTTGCTAGTACAGATCCCAATATTCTTTTTCACTGTTATAGTAATGTTAATCACATATACCAAAATACTTCAGGCTCTCAATATTCGAATAGGCACAAGATTTTCAACAGGGCAGAAGAAGAAAACAAGAAAGAAAAAGACAATTTCTCTAACCACACAACATGAGACTACAGACATGTCACAAAGCAGTGGTGGGAGAAATGTAGTCTTTGGTGTAAGAACTTCAGTTTCTGTAATAATTGCCCTCCGGCGAGCTGTGAAACGACACCGTGAACGACGAGAAAGACAAAAAAGAGTCTTCAAAATGTCCTTATTGATTATTTCTACATTTCTTCTCTGCTGGACGCCAATTTCTGTTTTAAATACCACCATTTTATGTTTAGGCCCAAGTGACCTTTTAGTAAAATTAAGATTGTGTTTTCTAGTCATGGCTTATGGAACAACTATATTTCACCCACTCTTATATGCATTCACTAGACAAAAGTTTCAAAAGGTCTTGAAAAGTAAAATGAAAAAGCGAGTTGTTTCCATAGTGGAAGCTGATCCTATGCCTAATAATGCTGTAATACACAACTCTTGGATAGATCCTAAAAGAAACAAAAAAATTACCTTTGAAGATAGTGAAATAAGAGAGAAATGTTTGGTACCACAAGTTGTCACAGACTAGGGAAAAGTTTAAGTTTCACAAAATCCACAGTCAGATGAGTTTTAAATTTAACTTGTAAAAAAATGAAATTACTGCCAAATATAAGAAAAAAAATTTAAGTATTGGTTATGTTGTAAATTTTCAATGTGAATGTCAATTAGATTAGGTCATATATATTCAATTTCTTCATTATTTAATGTATTTGTTGCATGGCAGTTTGTTAAAGTAATATCATATGTATATTTTGTCAATATTATGTCCATCAGAAGATATTCATGTAAGTCATATTTTCTAAAGAATAAATACATAGCCTTAAAACAGTGTATAACTTTAAAATGTAACTGACATAGGTATCTTTGCTTTCTTTTTTTTTTCTTTTTTTTTTTTTATAAAGTATATTGTTTCTAAGCCACAAATTACAGATATATTTGTATGGTGATAACTGGAATAGCATTTTAACATAAAAGCCAAAATTATGGACTCTAAACAATCAAAACAATCCAGGATTTTCTGTACCACTATATTATGTTTCCTGATATAGTATATACTTAATGTTAATATTTGACATATCAAAAATAAGGGACTATATATAAAACTATTTTTTCTTTTGAATGTAGAAAATCATAGTGTTTAACAGGATTTTAAAATCCACGAACCAAAAAACAATCCTGTATATGTACACCAAGATAGGGAAACTTTAAAATTCAAGTTTACTATGAAAAAAATATTGATTTTTCTAAGATCAAATAATATACAAATGAACCTACAATAAAGGGAAGGAATAATACTAAAGTACCAGCCTATTTCTTCCTTCCTCATTTTGCTTGAGTCTAAGACAAACGCTCTAGATTAATATACTGGTAAAAAACCAGTACATTAAAATAAACCAATTTCTGAACTTTATTCAATTCAGCCTTTTGTATAACAGAAGTTAACTATCCAAATCTGAATACCAGGAGGGGGAAAAGAAAAAAGAGACTTTATATCATTGTAGAAAAGCCTAACAAAGCCAACTGTTTATAATTTTAGATACATAGCATTTTAGAGTAATAAAATTTACACAATGTTCCTACGTAATCATAGCTCCCAAGTATTTCAAAATATAGTTCTATTTCCACTCTGAAATCATTAAAGCAATAAATCTTGTCATTTTTTCTAACTCTACCACCACTTAATTTAAGCACCTTTGTTTCCAATCCTGAATTCATCTTGAAAAACTATGAAATTATCAACCCTAACTATAGATTATAAGGATTGAGATCTCATATCAAATATTTTCCAATTATTATAATGTTATAATCTATCAATGAGTACTAATATCATTGTGTCAGAAAATTAGCAATAAGTTACTTAAAACGGGCAAATACTACATTATAACTGGTTAGCTGGACAACTTTTATTCTATTTTTTAACACTGTATTCACTAACCAAGTGGCAACTCATTTTTAAATAAAAAAAAATTATGTTCAACAATTCAATGATATATCATTTTCATATAAATAAAAGAGATTCATTCATCTAGTTTACTAAATAATTCATGGAGAAATGAATACCATGCAAAAGCTTGAACAAACTGAGGTTACATGGCAAATTAAATAGTGATTTACTGTTGATAAGGATGTTAACTTATTGTCAAATCTTGGTGAAGACCCAGTTTACTTCTGCCTTATTTTCTACTGTTTTATGGAAATAAAAAAATATTTCAATTTGATAAAATGTAGCATAAGACATATTTTTTGAAACCCTGAAGAGAAATTAACACTTCATGTATAAAATATCAAGAAAATTTTCATTTGATAAATACATTTGCCACAGAAATATATCATTTAAACATATATTCATTAAAAAACTTCAAAATGAATTTTGTACTTGGACTCCCAAGCATATATTAAAATTTTAAAATCTAGTTTTATAATATTAATTAAAATTAGAATATTTTTAGAGCTTTCATATTTAAAAAAAAACTTTATGTTTTAAATATTTTTACTCTTTAGGCTTATAAGCATGCCAAAGAACTCACTCAGTATAAAAACAGAGATTTCTAATATATTTGCCTAAACTGCTTTTATGCTTTCTTGTCCTCTGTAATAAGAAATTAAACAAAATAAGAAATAAATGGCAATATTATAACATAACCCTTTAAACTGCTATTATTTCTATATTTGACATTGGAGCAGACATTTAACAAGCATTTTTGCTCATCTGTAATAATCTTTCGGGTATACACAGGGCACCAATTGATTTACAACGAAGAAAATTCACACCTACTATTAGCTTCTATTAGCTCCTTATTAGCTTCTATTGGCTTTTTAATGTGCTAAATGGCATGTAATATGTAAACTACGATAATATTTGTGTGTTAAAAATTCAGCTTTCAAAAAGTCACAAATATACTTGTAACCACTGACCTCAGCTTAAGAACAAGAAGCTTAAACAATTTTTTAATTAAATATTTGTTCTGTGAAAAGATGAAATATTTTTATTTTCTTAATGATGGGCTTCACTCCAATGTGCAAATTTTCACTTTATTTCAAGTAATTTTACTTTTAAAAACTATTAATGGTAATTATTCTTATTAGAATGAAAATCAAAAAATGCAAAAGCAAAAGAGACAACAGTAAACTCAGTATGGGATCTTTCTTAAAACTATATTTTTCTATCCATATGCTATAAATCACAGACATACATATCAATTTGTATATAGTTAATTGTGTCAAGTCTTCAAAGCAATAGAAATAAGAACTATTTTAAAAACCAACCAAAGATGATCTCAAAAAGATATGAAAATTTTATTTGTTTTTTTAGATATGTGTTGTTGTTAATTTAAGGAGGTTATTGTTCTACTAACTACTACCCAATAGATATTCAAACCTATTATGGAGACTGAATTATTTATAATTATGCTCTTTAAAAAACGCCATTCATAATAAATCTATATTTTTCACCCCTGCTTAGTCAATTTTTAGGTATGTGGTCTATTTTTTTCATCCCCTAAATAAAATTACAGTAGTCTTCCCTTATCCGTGGTTTTGCTTTCTGTGGTTTCAGTTACCCACAGTCAACCGCAGTCCAAAAATATTAAATGGAAAATTCCAGAAATAAACAATTCATGAGTTTTAAATGGTTCTATTTAAATTTGTTGATAATTGTTCTATTTTGTTATTGTTGTTAATTTCCTACTGTACCTAATTTAAACTTTATCATAGTTTATATGTATAAGAAAAAACATTCTATATGACATATTATCCATGGTTAATCCACTGGGGGTCTTAGAATGTTCTCTCTCTTACACCTAAGGGGGTAATACTATACAGCAAAATCTCAGTTCTCTAGAAATCAAAAATCAGACTCCTTAATTAACTGAGATTAGACTTAAACATTAAAAAAAAATTTTAAATTATAAAAGAAAACAGGCCCTTAGTAGAGCTTTATTCCACACAGTATTTCAAGGCTACTTTCCGAAGTCAATAAAACTTTTAGTTTCATTGCATTTTATGATTATATAATTAAGCAAGCTTTATACTTCAATTAGCAATTGAAATCATACAGTATAGAGGCACTATGGTAGATACTTTGAATTATATAAAATAGAATGATTACACTCAAGAGCTTAAAATCTAGAATCCAGGTACTAAAAAAATACAGCAATACCTAAAAACAGAGGCAGATGTGGTAAATGTTATAAATGAAGAGTAAAGTTCCTAATAGACATGCTATAAAAGAAGAGTAAAGTTCTTAATAGACATGCTATAAAAGAAGAGTAAAGTTCTTAATAGACACAGAAGGAAGGGATTATGTTGAATTTAGGAACAGTACAAATGAAAGCACTGCTGAGGAAAGCTACGGCAGTATATTCTAAAAGAGCAAATTGTACCTTGGAAGGAAAGTAATACAGTAGTGAGGAGTTATCTAGAAAGTTAAATTAGGGCTATAAGATAGAAGGCTTTAAATGCTAGCACAGATATATGGAATGGGGGAATACAAGATGAGAAATGAGCATAAAAAATTAATAACAGGAATATGTAGACAGAATTGATTGGGTATGATCCAGAAGATAGGAAGCTTTTGCCATCACCTTGATACGTACTGAAAAGCCTGGCAAAAAATGATGGCAGTAGCTCTGCAAAGGAGCGTATAGATGTGACAAGCAATGTGAAGGCAGAATCAATAGGGTTTGAAAACTGACTAGTAAGACAACCGGTACAGAGATAGAAGAATTAAATATGATGAACACAAGGAAGACCATAAGAAACTAGATTATCCTTAATGATCAAAGAACTATTTAATATTTAATTATAGTTTGCATAAAATTCATGGATAACAAGGGCAAAAAATTTTGGGCAAAGCAATAAATTTAATAAATATCATTCAAGAATGTTCTGGTTGTTTGAAGGTATTCAAAATGAAAATTTTAAATTGATGTTTGAAATAATCTTTATATATTTTGAAATTGGTTTATTCCATTTTACCATTAAACACATTTTTATAATTCTAAAAAATTATAAGCACATAATGAAAAATAACGTATATGAAGTGAAAAATACAAATATCATCCTTTACCTTTTTCCCCTATTAATTTATTATGAACATCTATCCAACTCATTATATACATGTTTCCCGCATTCTTTGTTAATAGCTACATAAAATAATTTTAAGTTAAAAATTTTAAAACACAGCAATATTTCTAAAAGATAATATTAATAAAAGAGCAAATAATTAAACTTTTTTCTATTGTAACTAAGTAGCTTCAAACTATATTCAAAATCACCTTGGAAAATGTAAGAAAAGTAACACAGCAACTGAAGGAGGTTATTTTTCTGAATAGAGGCAAGAAATAAGGGGAAAACCATAAAATAATGTATTTCTTTTCTTCTCTTCCACTAAATAAGATGAGAAATAAGAAACCTAAGGGAAACTTTTAGAGATTATTTTTTTTTACATCTCAGAGATGAGTGGTAGTATGTACAACTAAATATAAGCTCCCTCAAGGACTGCAGTGAACTCCAAGAAAGGAGTTGACCCATGATAAATGTGAGGGATAAAATCAGCTCAGGTAGTAGCATAAAAAAGAAATTAGATAATAGAACCCAGATAAGACTGGAAAAAGACCTAAAATATTTAGAGATGCTCACCTCCTAGAAAAATACAAATAGAACACAATATGTGGGTCAAAGTTCACAGAAGAAAACTAATTTGAAGACTTTTTCTAAAAAGCATTCCAAACAAAAAGACATCCCAGTTGACAGACTGGACATATTCGAAATATAACAACATATACATACATACATCAAAAGAAATAGAATAAATATTAGAATATTACAGC